CCCCCACCGCACGCGCAGGAGACGCTCTTGCACTTTCGGGGGGATTTTAATATCCCCCCGAATTTTTTAAAAACTTTTTAAATTTTTGTGCACACGTGGGGACTGGCCCACGTGTGCACAAACCTTCCCCGGCCCCCCAGCTGCCCCCTCCGTGCTGATTTAAGTATCTGCACGGAGGGGGCAACTTTGCTATTAGTATAAGGATTGACTGAGAGAGTTTGGAGCAGACTGCTGTGTGTAATTTTATTGACCTTTGTATTTTTTCTGTGAGGGAATAAGTGGTTGTTTTTCATTAGAGTAAAGGTAAAGGTCTCCCTTGCTCAAAAGCCAGTTGAATCCGACTCTAGGGTTGCGGCGCTCATCTCCGTTTCAAAGCTGAAGAGCCAGTGCTGTCCGAAGACGTTTCCGTGGTCATGTGGCCGGCATGACTAAACACCAAGGCGCACGGAACGCTGTGACCTTCCCACCGAAGTGGTCCCTATTTATCTACTTGCAATTTCTTGCTTTCGAACTGCTAGGTTGGCAGGAGCTGGAACCACAGACGGGAGCTCACTCCGTCACGCGGCACACTCGACACTAAATGATGTTATGGCTTTAATCTAGTCTCTTTTGTCACAAGAAGACACGGGGCATTGAATGAAAACACGTCCAATTAAGAGCAAGGAAGGGAAGTTGGGTCTTCCCACGCTGGACACACTACCTCGAGGCTCACCGGGCAAGTCCAAGACCGCTCCTGTTGCTTCGTGGGCTCCGCCTGCCGCCACCTGATTGGTCAGGATGTATCCATTGGCTGAGTTAGCAGAGGTGGTTACCACTCTCACCATAGTTACAGTGGGGGCCTGCTGCACGACGTGGATGGCGTGGCCAGAAGGCTGCTGAGAAGTAACAATCGAGGCCGGCATGTAGGCCACCGGCTTGGCTAGCAGGGCAGACGGGCGGGGAGGGACGGCCATGATTACCGGCTGGGCACTTACGGGTGAACCTGCGAGAAGAAATGCATTAGCCACCTGTCAGAAGAAAGGCTTCCACCAACCAAAGGAGCTCAGGGCCCACACGAAAGTGATAGGTTCAAGATGGGTAGCTGTGTTGGTCTGTCTGTAGTGGTAGAAAAGTGGTCACGGACAGCTCTGACGAAGTGAGCAGTGACTCACGAAAGCTCCTCCCCTGCCACCAATTTTGTTAGTCTTTTTAAGGTGCCACTGGACTCTTGCTCTTTTCTACCGCAGTACCTGAAGAAGTGAGCAGTGTCTCACAAAAGTGCATCCCCTGCCACCAATTTTGTTAGTCTTTAAGGTGATACTGGACTCTTGCTCTTTTCTACCTCAGTACCTGAAGAAGTGAGCAGTGACGCATGAAAGCTCCTTCCATGCCACCAATTTTGTTAGTCTTTAAGGTGCCACTGGACTCTTGCTCTTTTCTGCCTCAGTACCTGAAGAAGTGAGCAGTGACGCACGAAAGCTCCTCGCCTGGCACCAATTTTGTTAGTCTTTAAGGTGCCACTGGACTCTTGCTCTTTTCTACCTCAGTACCTGAAGAAGTGAGCAGTGACGCACGAAAGCTCCTCCCCTGCCACCAATTTTGTTAGTCTTTATGGTGCCACTGGACTCTTGCTCTTTTCTACCTCAGTACCTGAAGAAGTGAGCAGTGACGCACGAAAGCTCCTCCCCTGCCACCAATTTTGTTAGTCTTTATGGTACCACTGGACTCTTGCTCTTTTCTACCTCAGTACCTGAAGAAGTGAGCAGTGACGCACGAAAGCTCCTCCCCTGCCACCAATTTTGTTAGTCTTTAAGGTGCCACTGGACTCTTGCTCTTTTCTACCTCAGAATCTGAAGACGTGAGCAATGACTCTAAGGCTCCTTCAGGTAATGAAGGGCAGGGTATAAATCCAATCTCCTCTTCTTCTTTGCAAGCACACAGTGTTTAAAACCTTACAGTATCAAAGCAGGACGTGTTTTTAAAAGCTGCCAGCCACTTTTAACAGGCCGCAAGCCTAGGTCCGAGCACACCGACGGCCTTTGTCGGCACGCTTTCTCCCCAGCTTAAGAGCTCTCTCGGTTTAACTCACCAGGCGCGCTTTGTGAGTATCGATACTCCGGAACGGAGGCCAGCTTGGAGCCAAAGTCGTGGTCGTGTGGAATGGGCGAGCCCTCCCTGGACAGGCACTCCGGTGTTTGCAGGCCACTCGAGTGAGGGGACATCAGACCAGGATGGGTGGGGGAGGCGGGGGCACTCCTGGAAGCGAGAGAACAGCGCCGAGGCAAGAACCGCGTTAGGTGACTGACGACGACGACGACACGGGGCAGCCAAATGTGTGTGTGGGTCAACGGGGGATGCGCAGTGAGTCATCAGGATCCTGAAGCAGTAGCTACAACATCCCTAACCTTTTCTCATCGAGTTTGCAAGCTAACTGAGAGTTCGAGCACTTTTCAACTGTCGGCGAACTCTCTTTGTTTAGAGTTGCTTTTACCTTGGACAGTTAACGGAAGCAAGTACAGGAAAAGTTGGATCAACTACTGTTCAACCGAGGTTAAAGAGTTGAGACCGGCCTTCTTATCTTGCAATATCGGACGTCGCTCATATGTACACGCTGACTGGTTTATTTACACTTGCATTGATTATCTCACATTTAGTCATGAACCAGTCAGTTATCTGGATAATAATCACATGGTTACCATACAACAGATTTGGAAAAATATAATATTGATATTTTCCTATCAATATGCATTGCTGCGACAAGCAAATCAGATCTCTCTGGATTAAAGTCTCAGAAAACGCTAGGTGAGATTTAGAAAAGGCGGGGTGGCGTCTCGGGCTTTTTGATAATCCCTAAAGGCAGAGAGACAGAAAGTTCTGGTTTACTTCTTAAATTATTATTCACCACAACAGGAGTAAGCGGGAACTTGGATAATTTTAGTATGCCTCTTCACAGTAATTGTAGGGTTAATGTTTATTTGCTTTTTATCTTTCTCTGGCCTTGCTGAACAAAGAGAACTATTTCTTTTCTCAATAAAGGATAAATGTTTCTACAGGTTCCCTGTCTGGTTTGTTGGTTAAAGTTCAAAGAACTGAACTTATCCCCTTTACACTTTTCTATTACCAGAATTAAAAGTTGATAAGTACCCTTTAACAGACAAATCTTGGAGAACTCTGCCACTGAACGGTTTACAGCGGCAAAGCCTTTGGACAATGTTTAGTTCAGGTTCTCTAACTGGATGCAGGAGGGAATCCCTTGTTACAATCCTATTTATTAGATTTGTTTAGCCGCTGCTCGTCCAAAGGGTCTCGCGGTGACTTACAGCATCAAACCCCCACAAATAAGGTAAAAACAACATAAAAACAGGTAACAGATATCAAATATTAACACTAAAATGTTAAGCTTTTAAAATATGTGGCTTTGGACAGTTAACGGAAGCAAGTACAGGAGAAGTTGGATCAACTACTGTTCAACAGAGGTTAAGAGCTGAGACCGGCCTTCTTATCTTGCACTATCGGACGCTACTCATATGTACATGCTGACTGGCTTGTTTACACTTGCATTGATTATCTCACATTTGGTCATGAACCAGTCGGTTATCTGGATAATAATCACATGGTTCCCATAGAACAGATTTGGGAAAAGATAAGATTGATATTTTCCTATCAACATGCATTGCTGTGACAAGCAAATCAGATCTCTCTGGATTAAAGTCTCAGAAAACGCTAGGTGAGATTTAGAAAAGGCGGGGTGGCGTCTCGGGCTTTTTGATAATCCCTAAAGGCAGAGAGACAGAAAGTTCTGGTTTACTTCTTAAATTATTATTCACCACAACAGGAGTAAGCGGGAACTTGGATAATTTTAGTATGCCTCTTCACAGTAATTGTAGGGTTAATGTTTATTTGCTTTTTATCTTTCTCTGGCCTTGCTGAACAAAGAGAACTATTTCTTTTCTCAATAAAAGATAAATGTTTCTACAGGTTCCCTGTCTGGTTTGTTGGTTAAAATTCAAAGAACTGAACTCATCCCCTTTACTCTTTACTCTGGTAATAGAATTAAAGGTTGATAAGTACCCTGTAACAGATAAATCTTGGAGAACTCTGCCACTGAACGGTTTACAGCGGCAAATCCTTTGGACAATGTTTAGTTCAGGTTCTCTAACTGGATGCAGGAGGGAATCCCTTGTTACAATCCTATTTATTAGTTTTGTTTAGCCGCTGCTCGTCCAAAGGGTCTCGCGGTGACTTACAGCATCAAAACCCCACAAATAAGGTAAAACCAACATAAAAACAGACATGTGGATTACCCTCCAAAGGCCGATGTATACGAGTCGGCCTTGTGATCTTCGCCTACAACCTGTTGCTTACCATCAAACTCCAAATTTTCTTTTACAAAGGTGGAGTTTCCAGTGCTAACCAGGAGCAAAACGGTATGGCAAAATGGAGGAACCTTTAAAATCCCCCACCTTTTCCGTCAAGCTCTGCTACGATAATGTCAACAGCACGGAGCCCGTCTGGTATTCGCCTCTGGTTTAATACATTCTTTTTTGGGGTTGTGCTACTTCATTAAACTATGTTTTCGTAAAGTACATAAATAAAGAAGGTAAAAGGAAAACGAATTAAACTTTCTACAAAGAACTAAGGTCTAATGCTTTGTCTTGAGTTATGTAACTTAACACTGTAGCGGTAAAACTAACCTCGGACTATGGAAACTAACCTCGGACTACAGTCTGAGTACTTGAAGGTGCTGGTTTTGACCTTTAAAGCCCTATATGGTCAGGGGCCTGCTTACCTGAGGGACCGCCTTTCCCCACATTTCCCCCAGATAGCACTGAGGTCAGGGTCGCAAAACCGCCTGAGTCTCCCTGGTCCAAAAGACACCAGATTGGCCGTCATTAGAGCCAGGGCCTTCTCAGTGGTGGCTCCATACTGGTGGAACGAGTTCCCGGAAGTCATCAGGGCCCCGCGGGACCTTTTACAGTTCCGCAGGGCCTGTAAGACGGAGCTCTTCCACCAGGCCTTTGATTAGGAGCCGCCACTGAGGAATGAACTATTAAAGACTGAACCGTTATGGCCCTCACACTGCTAGCATTAAGAGCAACTTGGACACTGGCCTTGCCACATTGGACCACTTACAGCAATCGCCATCTGCACTTTATGTATATCATTTATGGAATTTTACTGTATTGCATGTACGCATCTGTGTTTTGTTGTATTTTAGCCTATTGTATGTCGCCTTGAGCCTGCCTGTGCAGACAAGGCGGGATATAAATCGAAACAAACAAATAAATAAATACTGTGCCACAAAGCAGCCTCAGACTGACGTAACACGGGTCCAGTCATGATCCTTCGTGGTTGATGAACCACGCTAAACGTTAACCCAAACCTGGTGAAAGGGCGATTAAGGTGAAATGTGGTTTCAGTGGGTGCAGACGCAAAGCATTCTGAGACGTAAGGGAAAACGGGAGGGGAGGATTTGGACCGGGCCGGAAGTGTGACCTTCTCTGCTGGACTAACGAAAGCCTCGGACCTGATCACGCGTCTTGTTACTTACCGAGGCAGCTGCAAGCTCTTTCCCCCTCCACGATCCCCGTCTACGTTCGACAAAATCTGAGTCACATTGCTTCCGCAGCCCGCACAACAACTACAAATCGCCCTTGGATTATACGACCCGGATTATACGGCCAAACGGGTGTCCCGTCGCCGGTCCACCATCCGGCTGAACTTACCGGGAAGAGAGAGGCCCGAAGGGTGTTCGAAAGCAGGACACCCCCCGCTGTCTCCGTTTCCGGAACGCCTGCTCCACCAGTTTGGCTTCCGAAGCGGGGTCTATCCTCCAGAAAGATCCCTTCCCCGGCTCCTCTTGAGAGCGCGGGACTTTAATGAAATAACGGTTCAGGGAGAGGTTGTGCCGAATGGAATTCTGCAGGGAACAGAAGTGTGGAAGCTGTTATACATCCTGAAGCAAAGGCTTTTGCAGCCGGCGAATAAACCATATCTCCACCCCGGCATCCGGCACTCACCTGCCAACCTTTATCAGCCGTCCTGTAGTACGGATAATGCTTGGTGATATGGGCGTAGATCCCACTTAGTGTTAATTGCCTGTCTTGGGCCGAGGAGATAGCTTGAACAATTAGCTGGGCATACGAATAGGGCGGCTTTGACTCGTCCTGCAGAAAAAGCAACACGGACGACAGACAGACACAAGGGAGTTTTTAGCAGTTTCACAGTTCATTAATAACGGAGGCCGGAGGTTGTCTAACGAGGCGAGAGCCGGCCAGGCAGGTGCCGTTCAAACCAAAATGTTAAGGCAAGCGGCATTTTCTGTGGAAAGTTTCCCCAGAGCCACATCCTGTTACTTAATTCCCTTTAGCCTTAAAGCCACGGCCAACCAGCCGCAGGTGGAGGAGTAGGGGTGTGCAAAAAAAATAATATTCGGCCCATTCGGATTCGGCCGAATCGGGCAGAATCAATTTCAGCTGGCAGTAAGACTCCTGCATGTCAGTTTCATCAGTATGAGCGTGTCAGTTTCAGCCCCATTATATCTTATGGGCCAATGAAGTCAATGGCGAAAACATAGGGTATATTCTGTGGGCTGGAGAGGAAGGAGTTTGAGGGAGAGGCTCCAAACCTGCAGGGTAGCTGATGGAGCCTCTCCCCAAGATACCAACCAAGTTTCAAGAGCAATTCTACGGGCCCCGAAACAGGTTGCCCCTATCCTCTCCATTGTTCTCTATGGTGGTGGTGGGGGAAAGTTACTTGGCTGCTGCATAAATCAGTTTGCTCTGGAGCCCATCCTTCCTGAGCAAAGGCGAAAATGTGTGAGCCGGAGGCTAAAAGACTGTGAGCTGGCTCACACTAACTCAGCTTGTGTGAGACAGGAGGCTGGATGAGATGGACCACTGGTCTGATCCAGCAGGGCTCTTTAGATGATCTGTCGAAGGCCTCGGCCTCTGTGCCCTGTTGTTGGTCCTCTAGAGGAACTGGTTGGCCACTGTTGGCCACTGTGTAAGACAGGAGACTGGATTAGATGAACCCCTGGTCTGATCCAGCAGGGCTCTTCTGAGGTTCTTATCAGGGGAAAGCCTCGGCCTCTCTGCCCTGTTGATGGCCCTCCAGAGGAACTGGTTGGCCACTGCGTGAGACGGGATGCTGGACTAGATGGACCTTCACTGGTCTGATCCAGCAGGGCTCTTCTGGTGTTCTTATCAGGGGAAGGCCTCGGCCTCTATGCCATGTTGTTGGCCCTCCAGAGGAACTGGTTGGCCACTGCGTGAGACGGGATGCTGGACTAGATGGACCTTCACTGGTCTGATCCAGCAGGGCTCTTCTGGTGTTCTTATCAGGGGAAGGCCTCGGCCTCTCTGCCCTGTGATTGGCCCTCCAGAGGAACTGGCTGGCCACTGTGTGAGACGGGATGTTGGACTGGATGGACCAGTGCTCTGATCCAGCAGTGCACTCACCAGGCTATGGAAACGTGCCAGGGGAGCCCACCTGTGACAATCCAGCAGAATCCCTGCCACTGTAACACATTCACACGCATCCATACTTTGCAAGAGAGTTGGACAGACAGGGAAAAGTTGCTCGCACCTTTGGGCTGTCCCCGCCGGACGCGTCCGCCTGCTGCTCCGACGTGGCCTTTGCAGCGTATTCCGCTACCAGCTGCAGGTCCGAGGTAATATTCTGCACAAAGCGATACCCGGAGGAACCGGCACCGCGAGGGCTGGCGGGGCACGAATTGGGAACACTGGAGGGAGAAGCAGAAAAGAGCTGTTTGTTAAACGTGCACCGGCATCCTCGACAAATGCAAAAGCGCGAGCAACCGCGTTTTGTTGTTTTATAGGCTAGAGGTGGGGGGGGGGGGGAGCCTTCGACCATTTTGAGCCAGTAGCCACAAAACCCCATGGGGTGCTGGAGAACCGCAGTTAGAAGAAGAACCACAAGATGGCACTCACGACACACGAGTAAAAAAAATATAAAAGGGGGGGGAGACAGAAGTTTGCTAAGTAACAACAGAGAATGTAATGAAAGTCGGTCTGTTCAAACTACTGCATCTTTCGGGAAAAGCCTCGGTGAGGCTTAATAAGCAACTGACGGCTGATGACGAAACGACTTGGATTTGGGGAGGGTAAGAACGCTTTTTTTGGGGGGAGGAGGGCTGCATTAAGGGTCACCACGTCAATCGGGAGCACGACGACACCTGAGGTGTCCCAAGGAGAACCCGGAACAGAAGGCTATGGCTGTACAAACTGTATGTTCCTAATCACCAACCGCATGCAAGGCACAGCGTGAAATCTATAGCCACTAAGGTTCACCCGCCAAGTTAGCGAGACTGCAGAACTGCATCTGGTCCTTACATTCCCCGTTAGGGTATTTTTCATGGCAAATCACGCCGAGGCCCTTGGCCAACCTCCCCCCCCCCCAGCATTTAAATTTTTTAAAAATGAGTAAAATAAAAGAGGGAAGAGGGCGACAGCTACGGAAGGCCAACAGGTGGAGCTAGTGAAGAAAAATGTTTTGTGAGTTTGTACTGGGATGGAGTGAGCTCCCGTCTCTGGTCCCAGCTCCTGCCAACCTAGCAGTTCAAAAGCAAGAGATTGCAAGTAGATAAATAGGTACCACTTCAGTGGGTAGGTAATAGCGTTCCATGCGCCTTGGTGTTTAGTCATGCTGGCCACATGACCACGGAAACGTCTTCGGACAGCGCTGGCTCTTTGGCTTTGAAACGGAGTTGAGCACCGCAACCCTAGAGTCGGATTCGACTGGCTTTCGAGCAAGGGAACCTTTACCTTTACCTTTTTTACTGGGAGGGAAATTGCCCTTGCAGAATAAGATTTTCACAATTCACAAATGCAGCCAAAAACCTGAAAATTAGAATTTCCTCTGTTAAAAAGCAATCTAGGTACACCCACATATATTAAAAGCCTTCCCAGTGTACAGAGGATGATGAAGAAGAAGAGATTGGATTTGTCCCCCCCTTCCCTACCCGAAGGAGTCTGTGAGCAGTTCACAATCTCCTTTCCCTTCCCCTCCCCAAAATAGACACCCTGAGGTAAGTGGGGCTGAGAGAGCCCCTTCCAGGACTGCCCTTGAGAGAACAGCTCTGAGAGAACTTGTGACTGACCCAAGGTCACCTAGCTGGCTGCATGTGGAAGAGTGGGGGAATCAAACCCGGATCTCCTAGATCAGAGTCCGCGTTCCTAACCACTACACCAAACTGGCTCTATTTGTAACCCTTAGAATGACTATGCTTTTCTTCCTCGTTTCCATTATAATATTAGCTTTGTATCTCAAACTAGACACAGACAGGTCGCATCTTGACAATGAAAAGGCATCAAGAAGACCTTAATAAACACAAATTGGAGCGAAATTAGCTGAGGACATACATTGGATTTCCAGGTAATACGTTATCTGTTTCAAATGTCATAAAGCCGTCAACATTAGTCTAGGTAGTGGAAACGAGAGAGAGTCCATACACTGTGAATTACACAGACAACAGATAAAAGTGTTAAAGGTTGCCTTCTGCTTTTGCCATATAAAGTATGTCATCTTTCTCACAATGAACCCTGTGAGAGAACTTCTTATTCCCATTTCAGAGATGCAAAACTGAGGCAAAGGGACAACGGCCGAAAGCCAACATGGATCTAAGGATGTTTAAAGAAACTTATGGGTTTCGGGGCCTAGTATTCCCATCTGGCTTGTTGCTGGTGACCAATGCTCCCTCTAAGCTGTGGAGTCTCATGAGCAAAAATTCTACTTTGTGAGCTACTGGCATCAAAGTTGTGAGCGAGCGATTTGGCTGCTGCATAAATCAGTTTGCTCTGGAGCCGTCCTTCCTGAGCTAAGACGAAAATCTGTGAGCCAGAGGCTAAAAAACTGTGAGTTAGCTCACACTGACTCAGCT